AAACGTTTTTAAATTTGTTGAGATTACTTAATTCTTTCAGAAGAAGCACCTCATTTGAAATAAATAAATAAATTGCGTTTATTTTAAATAGTCCATGTGAAAGACCTTTAAAGGGTAATTAATGCAAGTCTCCTAAGACTCTAAGTAAGATGAAAGCGATCTTTCCAAATCTGCTGGAGTGATTTGTTTATATAACTTCCCACTTCTGCTGAATTCTTCTGAGTCTAATAACTTTTTTTTCTAACCGTTTGGCAATTTGTGCTTAGCTACAAAAGGCCTTGTTCAAAAAGAACAGTTTAATAATCTTTTCCCTGAAAATGACTTGAAGGGAGGGTATGAGTTTTATCTTTTTGCTGTGTTTTTATTAGTGTTATCTTTCTCTGATAAATCATGTAATTATTAACTATTGGGGGGGGAAATCTTATTGAACTCCTGGGTTGCAGCTTCTATTAAAAAGTGGAGTTTTGTTCAGGGACTGGGGATTCTCGGAATAAATGGTCAAAGAAATGGACTTTAGTTGGCGGAAAAGCTGCACACGCACACACAGAGTTCTGCCTGGGGTTTGAGGCTTCAGGTTGGCATTCGGTGTTTGCCCAGAGCTACGTGGGCCCTTTGACACAAAAACACACGTTTATGTGTTTGTGTCAAAGAGCAGGATTGTACTTTCTTTAAAAAGAAAAATGTAACCAAAGACACTTATGGAATGAGATCAGATACAGCTCTATCTTTAGTGAACGATAGTCTAGCGTCTCTGTGGCATTTTAAGCTTTTGGCTGAGAGTGAATACAGTTTTGTGGTTCCCCTGCTTCTGACGTGATTTGGTGCTCCCATATATTTGTAGGTTTGGTTTTTTTTCATTAGGGCTTGTTTTGCTATAGGGCTGCTTAACACTGTTCTCAAACGGCTTTTGCAAGGTTAAAGGAATGCAGCTTGGTAACAAGTTTGTGTCATTTTAAATATATACCTCCCAGTAAATAAGGAGGAGCCTTGCAATCAATCCCTTTTAGTGTGTTATATGTTTCACCTGACAACTAAACCCTCTATTGATTAACCATTACTTTGTTAGATAATCTCGTGTCATTGAAGCCACTGTAAAAATTAAACTCTTTAAAATGTTTTACCCTAGCAGCAGTGTGAAAATTGAAAACTTGTTCAGAATTACAGCCAGCTTCCACAAAGAGGGTAGTTTTCAACAAACTGGTTTATGTTTGCATGCTTTATATGCAATATAAAAGCATATTAAAGCACTCCAACGCAAAGCTATCTCCTTGTGGCGTTGAACCAGGCTACCATTTCAGACTGCTTTCGGTTGGTGAAGAAACCTCTTATCTTGATGAAAGGTGAGGAGAAACTTGAACAGTCTTGGTGAAAATTAGATGAGATTCATAAAGGGGTTGAGTTTTAAAGGTGAGCTTGAGAAATTTGCTTTTCTGTGGCTTGGTTTTGATTTTGATTTTCTTGGTTTTCTTCCAGGTTAGTCAACATTCTCATAGATACTGGAATGAATGGAAGGAGGAACTCTGATGTTGCAGTGTAGCATGAGACACCATCAGATGTTTCACCTAAAATGCAGGGCTCTGCATCATTACTTGATAATACAACATTCATTCTGCTTTCAGTTAGATCTATTCATTAGTAACTATTAGTGTACAAACACAAATATGCCAATATCAGATGAAATCAAATCTTCATGTCTAGCAGTAATCTTGTGTCTCAGAGTAGCCAGTAACTGCTGCCTACAGAGAAATACTAGAAGGCAACCATAAAGTACTACCTTCACAATATATTCTCCCAGCTTCTTATGACTTGACTTCATGAGCCAGATGCAGCTTCTTTGACTCTACCTGTTGAGTGACATTAACTCTTTTTCCCCTTGGACTTTAAGGGAGAACTAGGCTTTCTTCTGCATTTATACTTTAAACCTTTTAAAACATATTGTAGAAAGTGCACATGAATCTTCTTTACCATTTTTATTCATCCCACAAGGCTAATAATGCATTCTTCTGAGAGAATGTGAAAATAAGGACAACTTTGTAACTTTGCAAACATAGTAATGGATGTTGAACTGAAGATCACTGTATGTTTTATTCTCAGATCTGCATTCTGATGGATTGAATCCATTATACATACTCCTTTTAATTTTCTTTTTTTCCCCACTTCTTTTATTGAGAAACAAAGAGCTGCTGAAAGACTAAATGGTCATCTGGTAATTTGGCACTTAAATAGATTTTTATGTAATAAAATTACTGTGTGAAAGTTGATTCTCACAGTGAAAGCATGTTCTTCTCTCCTTTCTGAGGCTGAAAAGGTTGGGAAGGAGGAATTTAAGTAACATTGGCATGTTATCAAAGGGCAGAGAGGTATTGATAGCATGGGAATGACCAGGTCAGTGAGACCCAGAGTCTGCTCATCCAGTGCTGACTCCAGCACTGTCAGTGGAAGATGCTGTTGAATGAGAGCAAATGGGTCTGGCTGCTTTCTGTGCTCCATTCCTCCTACTTCTGTAGCTTCTACCACTGTTGCACTATGGGTGTCCAGGTGATATCTCTGCTGATTACTCTGTGGACCTGCTGCCCATCAGTTTGTTTAATCCCTTTTTCCATTTGCTGGTGCTGTGTCTTTCCACGGTGTCCTGGGGCAGCTCCAGAAGTTCACTGCCTGCTGTATGAAGAAGTGTTTTATTTTATCTGCTTTAAATGTATATTATACTAGTTCCATCAAGTGTCACTAGTACTGGTATTGTGGAATTTGATGAACAAGTTATGCTGGAAGTTCAGTTGGTGCTGTTCACACTGTGATGTAATGTGTGGATGAAAGTAATGAAAATCAAGCAATACATTTGAATAATTAGTTTTATCTACATTCTGACATGCATACAACTTTTGAATAGTGGTGTAGTGAGCTTCCTTCCTTCTCAGAAAGTTCTAGGGTTTTTAGATTTAGCATTTAGTATTTCACATTGTGTATTTGGATTGTCTGCTTTTTCCCATTTGTAAATGTGAGTGAAAGCCTGTTGTAAGTCTGGCTTTTGAAAAGCTGGCTTGGTACCAAGGTTTGTGCATACCTGTCTTTGAAAGAAAAAGACTGACAAGATCTGAGTTTGGTTCATGGTTCAGTTAATGGAGCCACAGGCTTCCTTGTTGCTTTCAGTAAATGATTTTGTGGCTGATCTTTTCATCTGCAAAGTGGAGTTAGTAGTAGTTTTCTTTGAGTCAGGGCTCCTCATAAAATTTACAGTGTGTAGCAGATAAGTTGTGCAAAAATACTGCTACTGGAATTTTAGGAATTAAATTGCAAATGAAAGAAATCACAGGTTAAATTGGGTTAAATTACACAAATATATATACTGAACAAAGACTCTTACCAACTCTTCATGGTTTTACACCTTCATAATCTGGTTGAATTTAACTAACACGATGCTTATAAAATGAAGTTTGCATGGTAGTGTCTGAACGTCGGTTCACAGCAGATGGTGTCAACTTTCTGTCCACCAGTTGGGCCACTACATCTAAGCCACAATTTATAATCATTTATGCCGTTCTGATCTTTCTTCTGAGGAGAAAGTTCTGTGCATACCAGAGTGATGGTTTTATGATGTTGGCAAATATTTGCAAGAGGCTAAATTGAGTCCATCAGATTTCTGTTTGCTTGTGGCCTAATCCCAGTTTGAATCTGAACCTCCCCTGCTGAAAGATGCACTCTGTTCATGTGCACGGCATTTTGAAAGGATTTGTGTGTTTGAATTTCTCAGTTTCTCCTTCTAGATCCAGACTCAGAAGTTGCTAGCTGTCTGCTAGTCACAGCAGATATCAATGTTATGACTTGTAAGGAGATCTGCTGGAGCCAGGATATTCTGCATTCCTGTCTGTCACTGGTTGTTTTCTGGTTAGAAAGCTTACTGAGAAATAAAACATGAACTGCTAAAGGAATGGAGAAGATAGGGCTTCTCTGCTCTTTTTTCTTTCAGTTTCATGGTGAACTTTCAAGGGGTCTGTAAAAAAGTAAGGTGGAAAGACTGTGATTTCCTAAATTTCCTCAAGAGTGTCTGTACTGTGCTGGACCAGTACAAATCCACCTGCGCCACTATACTGATTTCCCATCGTGGGCAGTAAGGAGTGTTTAATGTGGATTGTAAGAATTTAGGTGAATAATATTATAAATTGATTGTGTACACTTAGTTCCTATCAGTTGGTGCTTACCCTCCTCCTGAGATGGAGACTGTTAGGAACACAGGGGGTTGTGGACATATCTCCTTTCCCTTAGTGGGGGGGGGGGGAGGGGGAAAGCTTTCATTAGAAACTCCTGAGTTCTTCAAACATCTTAGTTTAAATAGCCAAATCAACCGAAGTATAATTTTAATCGCACTTCATAAGTACTGTTCATATACTGCCCTTAAAAAAAGAGAGAGACTATGAGTAATGTGTTCTGCAAAGACTCCAAAGTCTGCAGCCACAGCTGAAAGTCCCCTGGGCAGGAGAGTGTATGTGTTAAAGAAAAAGACATTCTACTTTAAAAGAGAAAGCTTTCCAAAATCGAGAAGATTAAATACAAGTGAGATGTGGTCTGCATTTGCTCCCTTCTGATTATTACCCTTGTACTGTCCCTATGTATTTTTACCTGATAAAGACAGGGAATGTTTTAATAAGTATTTGACATACACTGTCATAACTAGTGTGTAGTAATCACCTTGTTTCAGTTGTTCAGTTAGGCTGCATTTTTGTGAAAGAGCAAACAACTGAGGTTTTTTTTTTCCTTTTCAAAGGAAAAGAGGAGAGAAATCTTTTTTTTTCTTTGAGTCTCAGAGCTATAAAATTGTACATAGCTTCTCAGAGGACATCCATGCCCTGAACATAGGCTTATGCTGTAACTTTTTTTGGTTTGAAACGTTTACACCTTAGGAAAAAGGAAATGTAGTAGAGTTGTGGGTTCCTGTGCCAGAAATGTGGTGCCTGAAAGAAAATTGTGTTCTTCTATTCATAACCATTTTAATCTTTCTGCAGACCTACAACAGCTGTGCCAGACTGTGCTTAAACCAGGAAACAGTATGTCTAGGAAGCACTGCTATGAAGACTGAAAATTGTGTGGCCAAAGTAAGTAAGAGAATGGCTTTGGTTTTGAGGGTTTTTTAGCAGATTGTTCATTGTTAATCAAATAAAAGTTTTTGTTAAAAATTACAATTAGGAAAAAATATTTAAACAGAAAGCAAGTATTTTGGGTAGGCTTTCTGTCCTTCAGTGTAGAGATTTCAGTCTTGCTGTTTTTCTCTGCTGGAAATGGTTACTCAAGTTCTGAGCTATCTAGGATTGAAGGGTTCATTCTGCTATACAAGTAATAGGCTTTTCCAGGGGGATGACCTATGCCTGCCATGTAATTAGCTGTGGCAACTTCAAATGATAAATGTCCAGATACATGCTAAAAATATTGCATGAGAGCTCTTTGTATCATGGTTCCCTTTCTTAACTACCAGAGGGGAAGTGCAAAAAAGAAAGACCTTTCAATTAAAATACAGTGAATGCTGTATTTAAGGCAAAGGGAGGAGGGAGACATAGCAGTCTAAATGGGAAGAAAATGGATATATTAGCCCATCAGAGAAAAGTCATTCTTTGAGAATTGTAGTAGATGTGATTGGAAAAGATAGGGTGCCATTAGCCACCCTCTTTTCTTAAAATTCATCGTAACTAGAGTAAACCAGTGTACACGTAGGGCTGTTTGTGAATGGAAAACCTTTGAACCGTGATGCAATCTGTATAGAAAGACCATACCAAGGATGCGTTTAGCCTTGCATAAGCTTCGTATTTCCACTGAAAGGAAGTTTAGAATGGGCATGCAGGATGGATCAGTGCATCCAGCCATCTGTTACCGAAACCAGCTGGCATTTTGTTGCTCCTCTGTCACCACAAACCTGACCACTCGAAAAGCTGCTTTCTCTTCTGGTTATTTATTTTTTGATCTTCTTGAAGTCCTTTTTTTCATACTTTGAATGGTTGTTAAAGGTGCCTTGTCCCTTTGGGGACCACTTTTGTATTGATCTTTAAGATAATTTCCCAGCTAAATCTTTGCTGGAATTTTGCTGGTGAAATTTGGATGTCCCATTACTTTTGATTCCTGACAGGGAATTGGCCATCATAAAAGTTTGTCATGGTGCTTGCAGGTGACTTAGCACTCATAAACTGTGCTTGACATGCCAGGTTGCCTTCCACTGAAGAAGCACTTCTGAGAGAAGCTACCAATCTTGGTACATATTGGTAATATTTAACGCCAACACCTCCATTCTTAACTTAAGATGACTGGTATTGCACAGTGCTTCCTAAGGCGCTCTATGATACAAAGTAGGTGAAACTTTAAGTAAGGTGCCAGAGTCGCTCTGACTGAATTATATTCTTGTACAGCATCATTCTGATGCCATGAACCAGCTCACAGCAAGCTAACTAGAGTAAACCCCTTCAACCCCATCTGCTTTATAGCATCTTGTTTGACCTGATCATCTTACTAAGGAGCAGGGATGTGCAGGAACTACAGATAATTTAAGTGATGCCTCTTTAAAATAAAATTACATACCTTTAACATCTAACACCCTAGAGAATAAACTCCTAAAATTACAGTTTCAATGGGATCATGGTAAGAAGTGTGAGTAGAGCTCAAGGTGGGAACAGCAAGACTTTGTTGTTGAGGATGAATGTGAACCATCACCCTTCAGAGGAAAAAAACTTACGTTTTTAAGTATTGTGTCTCTATATTCTGTAGGACAATCTGTCATCACATATGTATGAAAAAACATAGATATACGTGTATACGTGCATATATATATACACACATACATATATATGTATTTTTATATATGTATATATGTATGAAGAAACATAAGGACCTTTCTGGGGATATATTTCCTCTGGTACTAGCTTGCCTGGCTATTGTACTCCTCCTTGCCTGGCTATTGTAATCCTTTCCTTTGCCTTCTCAGCTACAAACCAAAATGAGATAGGTTCTAAGAAAGCTTGTCTTTCAAATTCCAGAAGCGCTGAAGCATTTATAAATCCAGTTAGCTAAATGCAGATGGCTCAGTGGTGATGGCATGGGCAAGTGGTACAACTGTTAAATATTCCGTAGGTGAAGGACATAAGGACAGGAACCTGATGGAGTGAGTCCAGAGGAGGACCATGTTTCAGAGGGTTGGAGCACCTCCCCTATGAGGCCAGGCTGAGACAGTTGGGATTGTTCAGCCTGGAGAAGAGAAGGCTTCAGGGAGACCATATAGTGGCTTCTAGTACCTAAAGGGGGCCTATTCGAAAGATGGGGAGGGACTTTTTGTTGTGGAGTGTAGTGTAGGACAAGGAGTAATGGCTTTAAACTGAAAGAGGGTAGATTTAGGTTAGGTGTCAGGGAGAGGTTCTTCACTATGAAGGTGGTGAGACACTGGCACAGGTTGTCCAGAGGGGCTGTGGCTGCCCCCTCCCTGGCAGTGTTCAAGGCCAGGTTGGACGGGGCTTTGAGCAACCTGGGCTAGTGGAAGGTGTCCCTGCCCATGGCAGGGGGACTGGAACGAGGTGATCTTTAAAGTCCCTTCCAACCCAATCCATTCTCTGATTCTATGAGTTCAGAGGCCTTCTCCTAGCCTTATGCACCTGGCATGTTTTATCCTCCATGTCCTATAGCCTATAGACTTTAACATGTTTTGTCAAGTGGATGAATCCTGGAAAGTATAACTGCAGGTTTCTTTATCTGCAGCACTTTTCTAAAAGTATTGTAGGGTTTTAAATTTTTTTTTTTAACTGGTAGTGAAAGACAAAAAGGATGACTTTGGAAATCATGATTTACCTTTTCTGATTCTCCAGTGCAGTATCAGCCCTGACTGGGAGCCACCTTCAGCATTATCACATGCTTGTCAGATGTGTCAGTCAATCTGCAAGAGACGATGTTTTTTCTGAAAACAGAGTTTCTGATTCTGCATCTACTTGCAAAAAAAGAAAATTGTGCTCTGAAGACTGTATTAATGCCGTTTACTGATCGTGTGCTTGATGTTTCTGAAGTTTGTTTAAGGAATGAAATGCAGTTTCCCTTGAGGCCACACACATCAATACTAAGGTATCTTTTTTCACGCTGAAGCATTGTCCATCCATCAAGCTCTCTTGTGAACGAGCGCTTCTGTACAGGACATCCAGATATAAATTATCAACCTAACAATTGACATTCTTTCTAAAATGGAGGGAAAATAAGTTTATAATAAACAGATACGCTTTTTCAAGTACAGAAATTAGCATAGGGCCACTGTCTTTTTGACCACTCAAGGAAGTCTGTCAGGAAACCTTGTCTGCCTGGTTATGATGTCATGCTGCCTGTTTTTCTGTTTTAATCTTTTGGCATCTTTTTGCTCATTGCCTTTGAGTGATCAGCAGGTCTGATGTATATTTAACCTAATGTCTTTAAAAAGGAAATGCTATCTCTAATTGTGTTTTTATATATGTGTACACACACATATACATATAAACTCCTCCTGTTTTTCTCTTTAGAAACCAAAAAATGTCTGCAAGAGGATTTCTTTTTATGGTACTACTGGTGTGCAACTGCAAGTGGACAACTTTCTCAGGAATTGGTACTAGGTGCTTAAATAAGGTAGAAATTTAGCATGAACCTGAGCTCCAAGGACAGGGTGTTTGATTTTAATGAGGCTTATTGAAATCTGGCCAAATGAGCATCTGTTCCTATTGTTTGTTCCATATTTTGTAAGCCAGTATCTTCAGGCCAGATAATGGTGTTGGTGTGTGCTTCATCCTCAATTAGAGAGGGGCACAGTTAAAAATCCCTTGGCATCTGGTATGTCGCTAGGATTCTTGTGATGCTCCTGGGTGTGCAGAGAAGTTTCTGTTCTGAACCTGGGACCACTTAATTTCTGTTGGTGCCCTTCACACTTTCTATTTGTTGTGTGGTGAGGGATGCTCTGGTGTGTCTGCAGACTCCTTGGCCAGGTCTTTGCTTGGATGGGTTATATATATTCCTGTTTTCAAACAGAGGCCTTACCTTTTCACCCTTTCATAATATGGTCTGTATTAGGTTGGAGTTTTGCAAAATCTAACAGACTCCAAGCAAACAGCATTTCCCTGGCTCATGGAAATATCCTTTTGATTCAAAGTGCTCTTTTCTTTCCCCAGCAAGAGACTGGTGTACAGCTGATCTCACAGTTCTACAGTCAATACGCATTTCCTGCATTCATTAGATAGGTCTTTACTGTTTATTAACTCCTGCAGTCAGTTCCAGTTCGTCTGTATCTGCTATATAAAGAAGTCTTCTTGGATTCATTTTGCACATTGAATTCTTTTCTACATGTGCCGGAGATAGGCACCCTATGGCATACCTGCCGGAGACAGCACAAAGACACCTTCTAAATGGCATACAGCATTCCCAGGTTTCTACTTAGTTCTGAGCTCAGCAGCAGCTGGGAGAGGTTCTCTGCCTCTGTCTAAGTGAAATTGGAAGAAGAAAACTATAGTCATGCACACTGCCCTTGAAAAATTAGTCTTCTGTTTCAGGCCGCTCCTTGCTACCCACATGTGATAACTGGCTCCTGCTTTTTAAGGTCCTGGCAAACCAAGGGACTTCTCGGGGTCTTTTAAGCATGTCGTGTCTTCTAGCAAATCTTTGATTGCTGTTCATCATACTTTTAAATGTGCACACTGCAGCGGTTACAGTATTAAACTAGGAATCTAGAAGGGGTTATTCCCTTTATTTTTAGTACTGTGATTTTATTCTCTATGGCCATGGTGGCTTTTCTTGCTCCTTGTCAAAAAGAGAATTGAATAATACTTTCCTTGCAGAAATGTTATGAAATTTAGCTGTATGATACTTTTTTGACCCTTGGATGAAAAGTCCTGCTTAAGCATGTAATGATGTTCTGCCTACTTGGCAAGCTGTTTGTAGTGTATGGAGGGATAGAGCTATCTTCCACTTAATTCTGGAGACACAGAACAGGGCTTGACACTTTTAAGTATGCTATGTGAAATTTTCTTTCAAGATGCATAGTATTGTTTAGCTAGAGCTACATATTCTACATTCAGGAATGATTCAGCTAAAGCAAGGAGTGATGGAAGTAGCTGGT